CGAAACAGAAAGTTTTGTCTCACTTGAGACAGTTTCTCTTTAAACATAAACATTGAAAACATTTCCCTTGAAATGAATTTTGTCTCTCTTGAGATAGTTTCCCTTGAAACAAAATTTTGTCTCCCTTGAGACAGTTTCTCTTGAAACATAAACATTGAAAACATTTCCCTTGAAATGAATTTTGTCTCTCTTGAGATAGTTTCCCTTGAAACAAATTTTGTCTCCTTTGAGACAGTTTCTATTGAAACATAAACTTTGAAAACAGTTTCCCTTGAAACAAAATCTTTGAATATGTTTTACATTAAACAAATTTCGTCTCTTTTGAGACAGTTTCTCTTGAAACAAATTTTGTCTCTCTTAAGACATGTTTTTCTTAAAACAAAATTTTGTCTCCCTTGAGACAGTTTCTCTTGAAACATCAATCCTTGAATATGTTTTTTTGTGTCACCCTTGATACAGTTTCTCTTGAAACACAAAAAGAAACCTTTGAAATTGTTTCTCTTGAAACACAAAAAACCTTTGAAAATGTTTCTCTTGAAACACAAAACCTTTGAGATTGTTTCCCTTGAAATAAATTTCGTCTCCCTTGAGACAGTTTCTCTTGAAACACAAAATCTTTGAGTTTATTTCCCTTGAAACAAATTTTGTCTCCTTTGAGACAGTTTCTATGGAAACATTTCCCTTGAAATGAATTTTGTCTCTCTTGAGATAGTTTCCCTTGAAACAAAATTTTGTCTCCCTTGAGATAGTTTCTCCTGAAACATAAACATTGAAAACATTTCCCTTGAAATGAATTTCGTCTCTCTTGAGATAATTTCCCTTGAAACAAATTTTGTCTCCCATGAGACAGTTTCTCTTGAAACACAAAGTATTTGAATTTATCTCCCTTAAAACAAAATTTCGTTTATCATGAAACAACAGATATCTTTGAAATCATTTCCCTTGAAACGAATTATGTCGCTTTTGAGGCAATTTCTCTTTAAGCATCATCTTTGAATATGTTTTCCTTGGAACTAATTTCATCTCCCCGTGAGACAATTTCTTTTGGAACTAAGTTTTGTCTCTCTTGAGACAGTTTTTCTTAAAACAAAATTTTGTCTCCCTTAAGACCGTTTCCCTTGAAGCAACAAATATCTTTGAGATCGTTTCCCTTGAAACTAGTTCTGTCTCTTTTGAGACAATTTCTCTTGAAGCATCATCTGAATCGTTACACTCATCTCAGGCACATATTTGGGATAGCATTTCTCAAATCAAAAATAGAATATGCACATCAGATTTGAACATTTGAAGAATTTGAGACCAGGATCAGAACTTGAAGATTCCAGAGCCAAGATTCCAGAAAAACAACCGGAGATCGAGATTTCTCTCCTGAGCCCAAAAATAACATATGTTGCATATGCATTTTAGGCATACCTAAGAGCATTGCATCCATCTCATCACATATATGCATAACTTTTTCAGGTTTTAGCTAGAGTCAAGTTCAACTTCACAACGAAGGGACGGCTGGTTGCCAACAATAATTTCCCAATTTCGGAACCGATTTCAACTCCACGACGGAGGATATCATGCTACCCGAGACAACACAAGTTCAACTTCACAACGAAGGGACGGTTGGTTGTCAACGAACAACTTCCCAATTCCAGAACCGATTTCAACTCCACGACGGAGGATATCGTGCTACCCGAGAAAACACAAGTCCAACTTCACAACGAAGGGACGACTGGTTGTCAATGAACAACTTTTCAGTTTCATCCGCGATTTCAACTCCACGATGGAGGATATCGAGCCACTCGAGACAACACAAGTTCAACTTCACAATGAAGGGACAGCTGGTTGTTAACAAACATTTTTCAAATTTCAGAGCCAATTTCAATTTCACAGCGAAGGATATTGGACTCGAGACAACACAAGTTCAACTTCACAATGAAGTGACGGCTGATTGTCAACAAGATTTCGTTCAGAGTCAATTTCAACTTCACAGCGAAGGATATTAGACTCGAGACATCACAAGCTCAACTTCACAGCGAAGGGGCGGCTGACTTTCAACAAACAATTTCCCGGTTCCAGAACCAATTTCAACTTCACAGGGGAGGATATTGGACTCGGAACAATATTTGGATTTCAACTTCATGGCGAAGGATATCCAATTCTCAGGCTCAACTTCACGACGAAGGGGCCCTGTACGATTCCAATTTCACAAACAGATTGACCCAACTTCACGACGAATGAGTCATCTGTAACGCATCAACACTGAAGTCTTCAGGTCAAGTTTCACCTTCACGATGAAGTATCTTGATCCAGAAGACGATTCAAAGGACACTCGCCAAAAGCTTTGAGTTCGATTCCAACTTCACGACGAATGATATAGTGCTCAGAAGCTTCCAGATGAACTCGACTTCACGACGGAGGAGTCATCCGTAACTCAATTCGACAGGGAGTTATTGAAACATCAGAGTCAATTTTCAACTCCACCGAACGAAAAGTGTGTCTTTCAATCTTTGCCCTATCCCCGTTACACGACTATGAGCAAAGAGGGGCAGCTGTCAACACACATTTTTCGTCCTACTAGGATTCAAACTCTCAAAAATAGGATAGAATTCTGCTAGGATCCAACTCCTAAAAATAGGATAGAATTTTTCTATGTTTTAAACTCCTAAAGATAGGATCCACAAGCACTATAAATAGTCATTGTAGCTCACTATTGTAACACACGATTGGCATACGAAATTACCAGAAAAAAATACGAGCAAATAGATTGTTTTGAAGCTATTGTAAACAATTCAGGAGCAATAAAAGGTGAAAGCTTTTACCTTTCGCATTCTTTTCTTCACTTGCATGTGTTGTTATTCGTCTTTGTGCTTGAAAAAAAATAGTTTTGGCCGAGGAAAAGGGGTTGTCGTTCGAAACTTTTCTTTTAGATCTACACAACCCCGAGGCCGTTTTGGAAAAAATACTAGGATATTTAAAACGAGGGAAGGAAAGGCTTTTAAAAATCAATTTTTTTTTGAGGTTTGCCGCAGATGAACGGTCCCTTATGTATTATTTTCATATTTTTATTTATTTCTTTTTTATAATTCGTATTATAAGTATATATATATATTAATTATTTATTCTAATATTATTTTAATGTTTTTTAAAGTTATTATATATATATTTATAACTATTATATTTATTATTATTTTACTATTAACGTATATAATATATTTTTCTCTTTTGCTACTATTATTATCATTATATGTATTTTTTATTGTATTTTATTTTTATTTTTACTTTTTTTAAACATATGCATATATATACATTTAATTATATTTTTATATTTTATACTTCTTTATTTTTTTTGTTTTCATGTATTTATATTATATTACATTATTATTTTACTTTATTAAATTATTTTTTTGTTATAATATTTATTATATATATATATTATATCATAATGTTTTTTTGTTTATTCATTCTTACTATATTATAGGGATACACCACACTCATTTATTAACTACGGTCCCATCCCTTATCGTCTTTTTCCTTCCCGACAGTTATACTTCACCAAACCTTGACTTTTTTTTTTACTTTTTTGGTGTGATTGCGTTTTTTATTTTACTACTTATTATCATTATTATTATTTTGCACTTAATAATTATATGTTTTTATTCATCTTTTAGTTTTTCATCATTTTTTTTATTTTTTTTCCTTCTATTTTCTTTATTTCATTTACTCTTATTTCCTTTTCCTTTAACGTGTTTCTCGACTTTTTAAGGGTACTCTTTCAAATTGATCGGAGGTAAGTAATTTTGGATCATATGTTACCTTTAAATTTTAACTTTCGATTTTCTTAATTAAAAACAACTGGAAATTACGTAGTACCGAAAGGGCGGTTCAAGGGTGCTAATCCTTCCTTGACCGTAACCGACTCCCGAATCCGACATATCTTTGGTAAGACGCAGATCAGGTAAGATATAAGGTATCCGATTAACCTATTTATTTTTTTAAATAAATAATCGGTGGCGACTCCAATCACATTTTTCAAGTCGAAGCCCAATTCCGGGGCCCAACCGAAAGACGGTTACGACACTTAAGGCTGTTGCCTAAAGGCAGCCATGCTTTCCATGTCCATTGCATTGATGCATGGCTTAGTTCTCATTCAAATTGCCCTTTGTGCCACACTAATATAATCTCCGTTAGCGCTTCACCGCTCCAATTGCCTCCTCTGGTGATTGAAACCCTTTCCGGCAATGAACTTCCACATGAAGAAAACATAGCCGTCCAAATGATATAAGCAATGCTCAAGGAAGAAACACCGTGATCGAGATGAGATCAATTTTCATGGACCATTTATGTCAAGCCCAAGTTTCGGTTGTCGATATTTTGCTCATGGACCAAGAGAATGAGTGTCGGTTCTCATCAGGTACTGCCAGATAACCATCGGAACAATCCACAGAAGCCGCCAAGCCTAGCAATAAAATGAGGGTCTTGCACTGCGTAATGAACCCTTTTTCAATGGAGATATCGGAGTGGTCAATTCTTTCTTGCTAGGCAAGTAAGAGTAAGGTCCCTTCTCTGTAAAGATAAACCTTTTTTGCATTTATATATATCTGTCACCAGAGATAGTTTAGTTTAGCTTAAGTGAGAACTGCAATCTTCTTATGAAATCAAGAGATATCTTGATGCTTTTTCCCCCCGAACAGTTGTTGCTTGCGTCCGCTCCGTTGATTAGATCATAACGAACATGCGTAATCTGTTTGCAATTCGCTTCCATGTTTGATATAGTATAGCATATGTCATAGTTTTTGTTTGCATATGTCGGACTCGATCCCGTGACCTAATACAGATAACAAAGCTTGCAACTTCATTCTTCATCTTGCACAACATAGAAAAGCGAAGTTGAAGCAATTATAAATGGAAGGCATTGATTTGAATTTCTATTGACTATACATGAGTAAACAAAAGAAAAAACAAAGTAAGTTGACTCAATCAAACATAGACTACCGGTTCCGGCTAAAGCTTAATTTTGATCTTTCTGGTTCAGGCTAAAAAACAATAAGAATTGGAAAAGGTTGTCACATTTTGGTTGCAGTAAACACTACGTAGATCTTCCTAAGATAATGTCAAAAATGAGGTTTTGTAAGAATAAAAGAAAATCCTATAAACTTAAAACTTTATCGTCTCCTCGACATGTCTGATGTTTCACGAAAACGTTGATTCTTGTACTCGGAGGGGCTGGCAAAATCGCCGAATGCGATACAGCTTCTCGCCATCTTGTGTCCCCTTACAATTTTTGTTTTGATATGTTCAGGCAATCTCAAAGTATATCTATCCTCTTCTCTAGTCCTAGATATGGAGTGGCCGGTTGAATTCGATCTCGAAAATTTGGGGATCCTATGATGCCGTTGTCTTGTATTTGAAGAAGTTGGTGCTTTGTCTTCGCCCCCACCAACTGTGTCGCTGATGTTATCTTCTCTAATGTCGATACAAAAACAATCTTGTAATGGACTTTGATTTGCTCCAATTTCATGCATGGAATTGCTACGAACAACAAATGGAGACTTGTCTAGTGACTGCCTTGGCTCGTCTAGTTCCCCACGACAAAACGGACAAGTCTTATGCGACTCGAGCCATAGATCAACACATTCTTTGTGGAAAACATGGCAACAAATCGTCAAAAGTCGAAGCATATCATCATCGTTGAACTCTCCTAAGCAAATAGCACATTCTAGACCGTATTTTTCACAACGAAACTCTTTGACGGTTGAATAATAGAATGTAGGGAAAGCTTCAATTAGTTCAGGGTCTAGACCGGTATTCATATCGGCACCTGCAGCAGCATCGACAGCACCAGGAGGATTCTGCTGTCGACTCCACATTCTAACAAGGCTTTGCAGGAAGCACCTGCAGAAGCATACCGTGAGAAAAGCAAAGGCGAACAAAACGAGCAAAACTACTGATATAATTATAGCCAATGGTGGGGCAGTGCTCGATGTGGAAGGTCCTTCGGCATGACTATGAAACGACGACATTGAATAAACAGGGTGTCGGTGGCCGGAGTGTAGATGATTCCGACCGAGTGTTTTTGCATTGGTGAGAGACAATGGGATTGGTTTCTTTTGTTTGTTGGTTGTGTAGAAGGAAGAGAAAAGCATGGCGACATTGCCAACGTGTTTTTGGAGCGTCAAAAAAGTGGAAGCTTAATTTGGAAAGTTAAAACCAAGCATTATATTTTTGGTTTATTGAGCGAGTCCTCGGTGAGAAGGATGTGGAGCTATCATTGGAAACCAATGTTTTTTGCTTCATCGTCCAGATATCGGAATCTTAGCCAGTACAAATCCCTTCTCCCGATCACGATAAACAAATGATAACTTCAACAAATCAACAAATCGGAATAATTTTCTTCCTGGTTTTTGTATTAGAAAAAAAGGGTATTTGATAACAAGGGCAGAGTCTACACCATGGATGGAGTATTGATTCATACATAAAAATTCTGCAGCTAAGAAATTGAAATGAGCAAAGAGAAAGGTTTCCCCGATGCGATACATGGGCGTACTGTCCTATAAATCTCTCAACTATTCACTCTCCCACAAAAAGGCTCATCTTTTCCGGGTTTTGTGTTGCTCTGTTTCGTCCCTGGGTGCTTAAATGAAGTGAGTTTGTTGAATGTCATCGTCTTTCCTGGGTTTGTGTTGCTTTGTTTACTCTCTTGGTGCTTAAACGAAGTGAGTTTACTGAATGTCGTCGATCCAGTCACCATATATAAGGCTGATTTTATCTGGACCTTTCCATTTCTGAAGTGTTCTTTGTCCAGGCCTTTGGAGTACGATTGATATCCTCTGTGAGTGATAAACATCAGAAAGTGGAAGTGGGGGAACCGACACAGCATCGGAAGGAGCTTTTGAGGGCATTCCTCCTCCCCCTTGCTTCGAGTCGGTAGGGGTAGCACAAGAAGAATCCTTTGTTTCTGCATCAGCGAGGCCACCTCTATATCGGTGTAATTCTGCAGTAACAAGAAATACATTCAAATATATCCCTAGCTAGCAGCAAAAGCATATATCCTCTGTAGTATTAGGAAACAACAAAAACATTAAGGGATCATAGAGTTTAAGAAAATTCGAAAGTAAACGTGAGATCCAGGGCGATACTGGAGTTACAAGCAATTTAATATGCAGTTTAAGTTCATTGTTCTCACTTAACAATATTTGCATACACAACAAGCAAACAAAATCGCAGCATACTCGTAGGAATTGAACAATCGAAAACCATAAAAACATTCCATAATCTATACGAAAAGAAACAGAAATAAAAATGGTGAAATTGGTTAAAGAATCAAGCAATGAACAATACCTGCAGCTCCATGAGCAAAATGGCATTTGTTTCCAAATGGACAGTATCCAGTAAGTTCCCACTTATTACAAATCCGTGTCTTCCAATTCGTCGGTTTCGTATTCGATCCATTCCCACCACCACCACCTCCGCCGGCGCTGCCACCGCCGCACCCTCCGGGCCCCAAGCTTATAGCTACACTCTCCCGATTCTTCGACTGCTCGTCATGCAAAAAGGTGCAACTATCACCATAAGGACACCCTTCCTCCGAGTAAAACTTCTTGCAATGCCTCCCTTTGTAAGACCTCTGAGTTTCTCCTGCGAAACTCGTAGACCCCAAACAAGGGATTTGGAATTCTTCCCTCGGCGGCTCCGAGGAAACCCCTTTCTCTTCTTCGTGAGCAGCCACGATTTCTTGCCAATTAGGCGGCGGCCGGCGGAGCTCCTCGGCGCTGTGAGCAAAGTTACAATTCGAGATGTAAGGGCAAGTGCCGGCCTTGAACTTGCAACAAAGCTTGGTCTTGAAGAACATTTTGCCCATGGCTCTGGACCTGGAACCGGAATTCAACTCCTGGGAATTTCGTGGTTTCTTGCTTGGTGGCTGCTCAGACAGGGATTGAGGTTGTCTTTGGTCGTAGCTGGAGTTTGAAGGTGTGTCGGCGGGGGTTTCTTGGCTGTACCAAGCACGGTAATCTTCTTCCGTTGCCCAAACCGAAGGATCACTCGAATTCGGGACCCAATTATCAGGTCCATTTGTCTGAATTACATGAACTACGTTTTCTCTACTGTAATCCATGTAGGATGAAAAAGGGGAATTTGCTGGGAACCCTAAATTAAGTAAGAACGATGAACCCAGAAGCTAAAATCATATGAAGTGGATGAACTTTTAAGTTAAAGAGTGACATTTCAGAGATTTGAGAAATGGGTATTTCAGCACACATCTAAATAAGCTAAATCTGAGCTAAAATTTTCAACTTTTTTGAAGGAATACAACAAAAGAATTAACAAAAGGTACAACACAACAGATCAAACAAAGATGGAAACAGAAAAAAAGAGAAAATTTTAGTTGAAAGATTTGGAGTTAGATCTACAAATCTAAAGTAAAAAAGAAAAACCCGGACATTTTCGAAAAAGGATAATGAAAGAGGAAATACGGTAGAACAAAGAGCAAATTTAGAGATGGATTGAGTTTGAAGAAGAACAAAGAGCAAAATTTTCGGAATCTTCAAAAAAAATCTGGAAGAAGATTGAAATTTTGGTGAAGTCGCTCACTCTACAAATTGGGAGAAGAGATATAGAGCTGCCAGTGCTAGCTAACGAAGCCATGCTTAAACTTGTCGCTTACCAATTCTTTTCTTCTTTCTTTTGTGTGTTGTTTTCGTCTTCTTCTTATCCTTCAAAGATATTTTCTCTCTCAAACAGTTAAAGAAAAGTGATTTTTTTTACTACTAAAGTTATCAAGTCAACCTAACTCTAATAAATTCATCAAGTTAAACTCCACTACCTATTATTTTAAATCATATTCATCATAAATAAATTTCACTAACCATTAATTAAAACCCTATTAAAAATCGATATTTCTCTCGAAATATCACCCTAACCCTATATATTTTTCTGTCAGACACCGTTTAAATTATATTTTTTGATTTAACACCCTTTGCAGGAAGTCACGCGTCTTATACTGTGTTTTATGTCACATGGTCGAAGGTGCGCCCCCGGGGGCACGTCTTACTAAATATGTAAAAACGCCAACATTTTAAATTGTACATACCCCGCACAACACGGTTTCAGGTTGTGAATTATATGGTGTTTTAATGAAGTGGGCAATGTGTATAGTAATTAAGTTTATTAGTATTTTAGTATCACAAGTTTATTTTTTATGATAATAAATTTTTTATAATTTTAAAAATTATAAATTTCATAAATTTTGAAAAAAATATTTTATTTTAAAATTAATTATTTAAAAATATAAAAAATATTAAAATAAACTTTTAATTACAATTAAAGGAATAAATGAATTATTATTCATTAATTTTTATTTTTTAAAAACAATTAATAATTTTTATTCATTTTTAATTAAATTATTTTGATTTTTGTATTAAAATTACACAATACTGTTGAAAACATTTTGATATTTCGATATAACAAATTAAGTTAAATGAATTTTAAGATTTTACAAATGATTTTCTAAGTATATTCGATTGAATCAATCGAATATCAAAATTATTACTCCAAGCCTTCAAGATCAATTTTAATCCTTACTAAAAGTGTAAAATTGTGATTTGTACTTAAACTATTTTTGAAACAATTTTCACAAAATATTTTGAACCAAAATCAAGCCTTAAATCAATTTTTAGTGTGATGCACCGATGCATGCATCGATGCACCATGAATTAAATTGAACATCGAATGCATTTCATGCATCGATGCACACACCATGCACCGATGCACTGAGGATTTTATGAAAACATCGAATGCATTTGATGCATCGATGCACTAGCCATGCATCGATGCACTCTGGCTATTTTGAAACATCGAATGCACTTAATGCATCGATGCATCTAAGAGTCCAACAGTCAAAATATTTTAATTTTACACTGATGCACTTAGGGTATGCATCGATGCATGAGACGCTCCAAGCTGAATTTATTAATTGTTTTCACACTTAAACGGCTCTATTGACTTCACTAATTATCCCCAACGTTCAGAAGAGATTCAAGGTGTATTTAAACAAGCTTAAAAGCCATTGATCAACAACAAGAAACATCAAGCAACTAAAATCAAGAGAGAATCAAAGAGAAAGAATCAAACCTCAAGTTTGAGCATTTCAAGCCTATTTTTCATTCAATATTCATTTTGCTTTCAAGAACACTTATTGTGCTCAATTGTATTTATTCTTGAGTGTTCTTTCTTTGTTCTAAAATTGTGCAAACATATTTGCCTTGTGAGGTTTTTCTTATGAGTTTGGAAATTTGTAATCTTCCCTTTGAGAAAAGAGTGTTCTCAAGAATTGGGGTATATTCTTGAGGGAGTTGTAAGGTTATCTATTTGGCCTCAAAAGAAAGAACAAATTAATGAATTTGTTGGAAAATCCTTAGTGTGGATAGTTAAGGTAGTGGATGTAGACTTTGGTTGATAAAGTCGAACCACTCTAAATCGCTGTGCAATTACTTTCAATTTTCTGCAAAAGCTTCCATAAAATTTTAATTGCCAATTCACCTCCCTCTTGGCCGATTCCGTCAATCGATTAACTCAACAATTAGTATCAGAGCCTAACTCATTTGAAGGTTTAATCGCCTCTTGAGTCGATTCGGGAAGAGTTACATCGATAATCAAAGTCATCAATGGCCTCAACTTCAAACTTCGACTCCGATCTCGATTCGATGCCCGTCAACAAGCCTCCTTTCTTCAATGGGGCTAACTATGCCTATTGGAAAAATAGGATGATGTACTTCATTCAAGCAAGTGACATGGGAGCATGGAATGTCGTAGTATAAGGATACATCAAGCCTCTCACTCATCCAAGATTGTGGAGTGAATGAGAGACAAAAATATTTCAGCTCAACTCCAAAGCCATCCATATCATATTTTGTGCTCTTGGACCAGATGAATACGGAAGAGTTTCATCTTGTACAACCGCCAAAGAAATATGGGACAAACTTCAAGTCACTCATGAGGGCACCGATGAGGTAAAGAAATCTAAAATTAGTATTCGAACGCATATCTATGAAAATTTCAGGATGAAACCAAATGAAGATATCAAAGCTATGACGGATAGATTCTCAACGATTATCAATGGTCTCAAATCATATGGAGAGATCATTTCAAATGAAAAGCTTGTGAGGAAGTTAGTCTACTCCCTCCCAAAATCGTGGCAATCAAAGAAGACGGCAATCATCGAGTCTAAGGATCTAACGTCCTTAACTCTTGAAGATCTAATCGGTTCACTCCTCACTCATGAAATGATGCTTGAAGATGAGGTGGACCTTAATAAGATTGAAGAGACACCAAAGGAGAAGAAGAAAAACATTGGAGTTGCTCTCAAATCCACAAAAGATGAGAGTGATTCGGATGAAGATGACGATGATGAGGAAATGGTATTGTTTGCCAAACGGTTCAGAAAAATGATGAGACCTTACCGAGGAAGAAAATTCAAACGAAGTGAAGGCCTAAAAAATAAACCAAAAGAGAAGGACCCGATCATTTGCTATGAATGCAAAAAGCCGGGGCATGTCAAATATGATTGCCCACAATTGAAGAGAAATGGTCAATCAAAGAATAAGCACAAGGCTCATGTGGCTACATGGAGCGATGAAGAAGGTTCCGATGAAGAGGAACAAGAAGTAGCAAACTTGTGCTTGATGACATTCGGGGAAGATTCTAAGGTAACCTCTAACTCATCTGATTTTGATGATTTATCCTATGATGAGTTATTAGAGGAATATAATGGGTTGGCTTCGGATTATGAGAAATTATTTTTAAAATATAAAAATGATGTTTCAAAATTGAAAAATGAAAATAAACTCATATTCAAAACCAACAACGATCTTGAAAGTAAAATCAAAGATTTGCAAATCAAACTAGAAGAGTTTGAAAAGAAAAATTTGGATTTGCAAAATTTACTTTCAAAGGTCAATGATGATCATCAAAAGAAAATTGATGATCTTAAAGCCTCTTTTGATAAAGTTGGAACAAAACGTTTTGAAAATGGAGAAAATTCAAAATCCAACTTTGTTAGAAAAAGTTTTAAAAACTACAATCATAGAGGTACCCAAAAAACCTCTAATGGAAAAATCATTAGAAGTATATGGGTTCCTAAAGAGCTCATTACTACTAAAGATAAGGATATCCTACAAAAATGGATACCTAAGGGGACTAGGATTTTGGAAACTAATGAATATGGACCCAAAAGAATTTGGGTACCAAAAATTAGAAATTAATCTATGTTTGTAGGAAAATGAGCATTGCTACAAGGCATGGGAAACAAATCCAAATTCATGGTACCTTGATAGTGGATGCTCAAGACACATGACCGGAGACAAAAAACCGGTTCATTGAGCTTAACGCCAAAAATGGAGGAGAAGTGACTTTTGGTGATGATTCAAAAGGTCACATTGAAGGTATTGGTACTATTGGTAATACCTCTTCCATACAAATTAAGAATGTTTTATATGTGAATGGATTAAAGCATAATCTATTGAGTATTAGTCAATTTTGTGATAAGGGATTCAATGTCATGTTTGATATTAATGGTTGTAAAGTCATTGACATTGCATCTAATCAGATTATGCTTGTTGGTCATAGAATAGGAAACATATACATGGTACATTTAGATTCTATTGATATGACTAATTTGTGCCTAGTTGCTAAGGATGAACATGATAGTTGGTTATGGCATAGGAGACTAGGACATGCTAGTATGAGTGTTTTGCAACAGCTAATTCAAGGTGATTTAGTTCGAGGGTTGCCTAAGCTTAAATTTGATAATGAAAAAATTTGTGATGCTTGTGCTAAAGGAAAACAAAAGCGAGTTTCTTTTAAATCCATCAATGACGTATCAACTAGTAGAGTATTACAATTGATCCATATAAATCTTTTTGGGCCAACTAGGACTACTAGCTTGGGTGGAAAACAATATGCATTTGTCTTGGTAGATGACTATTCTAGATATACTTGGGTTCTATTCTTAAGTACTAAAGATGAAGCATTAGAAAAATTCATCACATTTTCAAAGTAATCCAAAACGATAAAGGTTACTCTATAACTAGTGTTAGGAGTGATCATGACACTGAATTTGAAAATCTTGGATTTACTGAGTTTTGTAATTCTAATGGTATTAGTCACAATTTTTCAGCACCTAGAACCCCTCAACAAAATGGAGTTGTTGAGAGGAAAAATCGAACTTTAGAAGAAATGGCTAGAACCATGCTTTGTGAAAATAATTTGCCAAAATATTTTTGGGCGGAAGCCACAAATACCGCTTGTTATGTTGTAAATCGAGTAATGATTAGGCCTATTTTAAAGA